TCCTGCTGAGCTAGCAAGACACACAGGGTGTTATCTCACAAGTTGCGACACCAGCCTTCCATCGTCATGCATTGAAACACCACCAAGAGAGCCCATAGAATGTTGTCAAAGTTCATATAGTCTGCATCTGGTGTGAGCCTCACAGCCACGTGGACACGCATGTCGCAGCCATCGAAATTGTCGGCAAAACTTGAACTCCAGCAAGACCATGTGAGAGTCTCTGCCACGGCTAGGTTCATCACTTTTGTGGCTCGCTGCCTGCACACCATTGAAGTCCCAACCTCAAATGGCAGTAACACTTGCACACCATGGTACCACTCTCTCCGAGTGGAACTGAGATGAAACGAGTTAGTCAGAGTGGGAAATGTCCACCGAGCATCCCACATGCCGTCTGGCCCAAAGTCTGGCCGCAGTTCGGGTCTCATGTCCTCGCACCGGACATCTGAGAAGACGTCTGTTCCAGGCGCCTGTTGAGAAGACGATGAAGAAGACTTCCAAGAGTTTCTTATGGGCCGCTTTGCCCCTACTTCTTATTGAGTAGGCACCTACTTATAAAATTAAGTAAGGGCTAAGTCAGCTTCTAGGCAGGACGCAGGATAAATAGCTCACGCACAAATCATTTGGTTCCTAGTCTAGGTTTTGATTTACAGTAAAAAAATATACAACCAAAATCCCAGGAGTGTCCTCCACTAGGCCACCACAGTAGCCGCCAGACGCTTCGCCTCGAAAAGATCCAAAAAGGCAACCGATTTGTGCGTTAGCTTAAGAACAAATCCAAAGAGCTGTCTTTCAATAAATTATATACAGTAACAAAATATCACCATTTGTCACACATGTCACAATCACAATGCTGTCTTGCCAGGTCTTACCTTAGCCTGACCCATCCTTCATCTTGGATGCCCCTTGGGTGCCCGTGCAGTTGTAGGCGCCACCACACAGGCGATCATCCACTGCATAGGGCCAAGACCTCACCATGTATCCAATGCAACTTGTTTGCGATTTCTGAGCAATGCATCCTGGGTGGCCAACCAGCATTGTAGGCCAGTACCATTGGCAAACAACAGCACCTGAGCGACACTGATGCGTTTCTATGATGCGTTTCCTTAATTTTCTTACCTCTGAAAAGCCCGCTCAACAGCCTGTATGATGCATGATCAGGACTCTCCAGAATTTCTTCCGAACACAGCAACCAATTTAGATCTATTCAGCAGAGTTGCAGGTTTGGGATCAATCCGACAAAGGCGGTTGAATGTACCACTCATCAGTGTTACACCTGACAAACATGTCAACAAACGCGTCTGCCATGTGCTGCAATCGCGAGTTGTGGACCCAAGCGCAAATGGCAAAGCGGCAAGGTGTCAAGGTGAAGCCCAAATTTACCCTTGAACTTGCCTGGTCGTTGGTCCCTTGTTTGTAGCTTCCGTATGCTACTGCAATTCCATAGACAATTATATATGTATATATATATATCTTTACATAGCATATTGATTGAAACCTGTTTCATTCATGTTCATTCTGAGACCCTAGGCTCTGGCTCCTGCATCCTAAATGAACAAGGACGCCATGCCTATAATGCCGAATACCAAAAAGAGGAAGGCTCCCACTGCCTCGAAACAGCAAGAGTGCACATAGGATTCATTCGTCTTCCATTTGATGGGCTAATCGGCTAGTGGAACAGAAGTTTCCAGTGTCAGCAAGTTCAATTTGCAAACAACAACGTTTTTACTTTGCAATTGTCTCACAATTTTGAGAAATTCACTTTGCCGTCATACGAAGCAACTGGAGACTTCTTAGCTTCCAGCTGACACATTTCCCAGCTTGGGGACTGAGCTTATAACCGTATTCACCAAGACCTGGAAGAAACGACTTGCTGTCAAAACGACTCCAAAGAGTCAGAAAAGGTGTATTTAAGTCAGGAAAAAAAAGAACAAAAATAAAACAAAACCTATCAGAACCTATCACCTTTCTTCTTGATGTCCAATTGTTGAAATGATTTGAGTTGAAATCTTACCGCATCGGAGAGCCCAACTCTCCACCTCTCCACCTTGCCTTCATCTGCGGCACCGCATTGAGCGACCGCAAAGGCCGTAGCGCGCGAAAGACGCGGAAGAAGCCCAGACTGCCACAACACCAAAGTTGGCGAGACTTTCACCAATCTAAAATGAATAAAGAGCCACCATGTTCGGATTAAAAGTAGAGGAGAATGCCCATTGTCGAAGTCCCACAGTCCACCAAAAAGCACAAGTTAAAAAAGCAAAAACCCCCGCCCCCCTCCCTAGTAATAAGGGCATCGCTACTACTAACAAGAAGCTAGTAGGTTGGAGGCCATCGCTATTAGGTCGGAGGCCATCGCTACTAGTTTACTAGTAACAAGTGCACTAAAGTAAGTACTGTAAATGGGTTCTGGCATAGGCCATAAGCCTTCTATGCACATATAAATAAGGCACTGGACTGGAACAGCGGCAAATTCTCCCACCCGCTAGCAGCTCCACCAGGAACAAAACTTGCCCAGGCCTCAGCTGTGCCAAATAACGAAAAGTTGGGAAAGCAATTTGAGCGAACAAATCAAAAGACACAAAACCTTCTTAAGTTCAATCAACGTTCCAACTCTTTGCTTCAAGACATCTGATTACAGAAGCTGCAAAGAAAAAGCACTATGCAGCGTGTCTTCTGACTTCTGAGCGAAGCACAGTGAGAACTACAACGAAGTCAAGCCAATTCCAGGCCTTTGCTGATGAAACACATTGCTGTTGATAGCTCTTGCTCTGCACTTTTGACAAGGGTCAATGTGTACTCTGAATAGTGAATAGCGGCGAAAGCAAGAACGCTGCCTACTGTCTTCTCCTGCCTTCGCGCTTCTCAGTGTCCCCCCTGAGACTCGAGCGTCACGGAGATAGGAGTTCCTGTCCCAAAAGAAGCCCCAAGCTATGACCTGGGCACAAACACATCGAACACCTTCCATAGTGAAACTTGTTGGACGTTTGCTAGGCCTTTAATTGAAGAGCTGACCAGTTCAAGGAGCATATTGACAAAATGTGCTGAGAATGTTCAACGCATACAGCACAACGCGTCTGGAATGCACAAACGGAGAAATCTCGCTTCATTTCAAACACGGGTGGCTATTCCTGACTTACGTGCTCAGTACAAAACTTTGCACAAACCGTGACTTTGACACCACCTCCTTGCCTTGAGCATCGCCTCCAGCGTGAAAAAGATGGTGAGCCAAACGTCTAGGATGTTGTTGTAAAACCCGTTGAATCCTGCAAGGCTGTTCTTTCAGAAAAGCAAACCGAAGACGGTGCAGAGTGGCGAGCCACTATGGCTGAAGGTCTGAATAGCGCTCTACTGGAAAACTTGGCTTGAAAGCCGCTTGATTCTGTTCGGCCTTTATTTGGATCACTGCGCCAATCCACGATGGCAAGGCCTCAGCTTACGCTAAATCAAGATGTATCGATGCAAGCATGTCACGCTACTCATTGGCATCTGTTTGAGCTAGCTTCACTAATTCATTCATCTGTTTGCTGTGTATTGAAACCTAGAGCATTCTCACATCTCTCACAGCACACCAATCCGCCGCCTATAGAATTGAGCGCGATAAGTAGGAGGATGATGCGGTCAAACCAAACCTCACACTTGTGAACTCGACCAACTCACTAGTTGCAGGTGATCTACAGGACAAGAAAGGAGACCACAAGCAACACAAGAGTTTCCGTTCAAATTTCTGGTCTTGCTGTCATCGCATTAAGGTGCTGACCCAGCACACCAACAGAAGAACCTGTTTTTGAGCGCCCATTTGTTGCACCGAACAAACGATGGCACCGAAGCCACGTGTTTCGGCCTGTTGCCGGATGGGTCTGTCGATCTCAAAGATGAAGAGTGACTTGTCACACACCTCACCAAATGTCGAACTGAAGCAAGTATACCAGACGAAGCATGGAGTCCCAAGCCTCAAATTTCTTTCCGTAGACCAAAACCTCAGTTTTTTTGTTGCTGCAGCAGATTGCAAGGACCTTGACCTACTCAAAGAGATGTGAGACCCAAGTGCATACCCAGCCAACTGAGTTGCTGGTTGATTTTGTGAAAGCTTTGAAAGCTTTGATGCTTGTGAGTGCAAGCTGTGGCATCAATGCAGTCAATTCGAATCAACTTCAGCTCTTCAAGATTGACGGTCTTCGAACTTTGAAGTAAGATATTTGTGTAACGTTGAGGCAGGTCTGTGCTCTTCCAGATCTAGCACCACAAACTGAATGCAGAGCCTGGCTCTAAATTAAACCGTTTCCTTCACTTTTGGATTATACATTCAATTGGACAGCAAAACAGTAAGACAATGCCACCAGCATGTTTATAATGTATATATATAATGTGTGTTGACAATCGCCAAGAACAAATTCAATCGCAAGAACCCCTCCACCAAGGACCTTCCCCATCAGTGGCCAGTCTATCTACCACCGAGCAACGGTCCGAAGGCCATCTGCCGTCTTTCCTGGAAGGATGTCAAATGCCTGCGCGGGCAATTGGTGGTGCATTCACTAGAATCGTCAGAAATGGCATGTTATAATTATATATAAGTTTCTTCATTGGACTTTGCATACATTATGATGTAGCGACCATTTCCACAACCGTCTGTCCCCACAGTGGAAACCAGTTCAACTTCAAGGCTGTGTGTGTCTCAATTTCTCAATCTCTTTTCCCCAAAAATAAATTGAAAAAATATCACTCTGACACTCTCACTCTATCTCCCTCTCTCTTCCTCTCTTTCTCGCTCTCGCCCCCTCCCCCTCTCTCTCTCTCTCTCACGCATCTTTCGCCAGCATGAGCAATTTCAAAGTCTCATTCTGATGAATACAGACCATCTGTCAAAACAGAAGGAAAATCCATTGAAGTAAGCACACTGGTGACAGCTGCAGATTGGCTTCAGCTATGTCTAGCAATCTCAATCTTTCTTGAGACAGTCCAATCACAAATCCTTGAACGCGTTTGCCCGACATGGGCTAGGAACACTAGTCCAAACCTGTCATGGAGGCTGTCACAAACTCCTGCGGATTCACAATGGAATCATAAACCAAGTAGAGGACAATCAGGATGAGGATTGGGAAAACCACGTAGAACGGGCCTCGACTGCCGCACTGGCTGGCCATGTTCAAGCCTTTTTCTGGGCGGAAGGGATGAGGCCAGACCACATTGATCAACACAACCCCATCTAGTATGGGCATGTATGGTTCCCAGCAGGGCGTCTGAGGGCAGTGCCTCTGAGGGATTTGAAGCTGGAAAAGGTCTGGTGGCCCGAAATGCCGACCGTTTTGGGGTTTCTAACACTTTCATGTGCAGGATGTGTCACATCAATGTCTTTGTGTCACGGTTTGGATAAATATCATCCATACAAGAGTTTTCACAGTGGACGAAAGGATGGGAATATGGGCTGGACTTGCAGCAGGTAGCTGGCAAAGCTAAAAGCCAGAGGCCAAAAGAGTCACCAAGAACCGCCAAAAGCTACCAATCGGTCTCCCTAAAATATACTCCATATTCTATAATCATGTTTGACCCACCTCTGACACACCACCTGACACCCTGTCTCCATCTGTCTCCACTGCGTCTGCGGCACCAACAAACTTGTCGGTGAAGTTCTTGTTGCTTTCTTCTTGTCGTTTCCAGTAGCGTTCCACTTCTTGTCGAGTAATGCCCACCTATGAAAACCAAAGAGCAGGAAAAGCCATACAAATCTAAATTTTCTGACATGCTTCACAAGAAAATAATATCCATTGAGGCCTCCTTGTAGACATCCCGTTTGGCTGGAAGGTAGCTTCCCTTCTCGTCCTCCTCACTTGCAGACTTCAGCACCTCTCCGCGGACACAGGAACACAAGATCAAAAGGCAGTTTGCTATCAAGCTTAGCACTACTAAATGCTGCTTTTTACATCAAGAATTGCCAAGAACGGTACTCAACAGTAGTCTTCGGCGTCACGACCTCTTGCTAGCTACAAGAGTCCAGGCAGCTAGTGAAAAACCAGGTCGTTTTTGCAATGTTCCAGGGTTCTCTCTCCTCACCTCATCCAAGCTTTTCTTCACGATGGATCTGGATCTCTTTTTGGGAGCCTCCACTGGAAAACAGCACTGAGCCAATGGCGTGAATGGGATCCAAAGAAGGTGTATTTCTAGATTCTTAATGATTCCAGCTTGCAGTACTGAGGCTTAAGGTTAGTCGTGCAAACCGAAGACTGGTTCTGGGTGTTTGAGGTGCAGAGCAAAGGCTTCGTTTCCTTGCCTTAAGCTCCCTCCTCTTCACACCTGAAACTTTGTCTACTGCTCTTTGCGCAGATTCGCTCAACGTACTCTTCTCGTCCTTTGCATCAGTATCTTTCAGCTTCTTTCTCAGTACCTGGCATTTTCTCAGTAAGTCTATTCAACGGTAGGCCAGCTTTGGTCTCCAGCTCATGGCAGCCAACGAAATACTGCTCAGACCACCTCATCTAGCTTGTCAGCAATCTCCTGCCAGGCTGAAGAGGCATAGCGACAAGCACAAAGCCGTCAAAGTGTTGAGCCTTCTCCTCGGCAACTGTCCGCTCTGCTGCAACTGCCACACGAGTGGATGGACCTCTGCCGGGAAATGCGGCAGTTTGTCTCTGCTTGAAGAACAGCGATTCGGACAATTCAACTAACTGTTCCTTAGAGTGTGTTGTCGAAGAATTGCCCATGATAAAGAAAAGCCAAGGTACTTCTCCATGCAACACCTACAAAGGCCTGTAGGTTGTACAGAAGAGCAAGGACGAGCAGTCCCCAACACCTGTGCACGCATGGAACAAAGTAAGATCACTTGCAGAACTGAGTTTGGTGGCTCCCATCACACACTTATGGATATACGTACTGACTTGACAGCGGTGCCAAACGCCAGCCTAAGAGACCCAAATCCTGAAAGGTCCAGGAAAGTCCTAAAGAACCTGGAGGTCTGTAAGAAGAAGTGAGGCCAAAAGCTCAAGGTCGAGGACGGCGAGCGAGTCGAACACGGTGACGGCGGCTCGTGCACATCTGCAGAAAGTGAACCAAATCCCTAAGCAACACCGTGTCGTGAGGTTCTTGGCTTAGCCTCTCGCCATTCGAAAAGTGGAAAATTGCAGGTACACAAGAAGGCCTCCCTTCTCGCTTCACCAGTTGTGAGTCCGTCTTCGTTGGTCCAGGGACAACTCACAACTGCCTGGACCCCCTGCTGAAAATTCAAAGCAAAAACTAAAGCAAAACAATCCGAAAGGATCCGTGTGGTTCCAAGGGTTACACACACACGCCTCCCCGAGGGGAGGCAAGGTTTTAAGCTCCGCGCCAAAGGTGGGGTGAGACTAGGTAAATTGACGAATCTCTCGATAGGTTTGATAGGCGGTCAGAGGTAATCGAAGTTGACAAATGGCATCATCATGTAGTCGAGGAGCGACAGTGTGGAGAGGTCGATAGGGGAAAGGAGTGGAATCACGGGGATATTCATTGGCAATCCCCAAAGGGCGAATCCGGCGAGAGTTGACGTAGAAGAGGACGAGGTCCTCAAGGGTGCAAGTGTGTGGAACTTCCCAAACTCGTGAGTCACCGGTAGAGGGGAGGGCCATCCAGAATGCGGTGCGGTGTTGACCCAAGCGGGAGTAGATCACATCTTTGAGGTCATCGACCGTGTAAGTTTCGATCTGCTGCCTGTCAAGGGTCACTGTGATGTAGTTAAGTGGTTGATAGACAAGCAAACTGATGTCCAATTCGAATCGGACGGTGGAGAGGTCAGGAACCGATGTCCATGGTTTCGAAAGGCTGACGAACTTCGCGCCAGGAGGTGCGTGAGGTAGGGATCATTTGTGTCAAAGGTTCAGGTACACGAAGACCAGGTGAAGAGATCATCGCGAGCGACGACGGATACGAAAGTGGTGAGAACGGTGAGAGCCAACGGCTGCGAAGGGTCAAAACATTTGTGGTGTAAGGAAAAGAGAAAAAGGAAAAAAAGAAAAGAAAGACACCTGAGAAAAGGACGAAAAGGTGGCGAGCACTTTTTAAATCTTAGCGGAAGGGATCCGAAGATATAAAGAAGCTCGTACGGCCTCGATCTGAAAGTATGGGAATCGGCAGCTGAGGTCGAAATAATGATGAGGATCAGTCCTGGGCTCGTTCGGCAGGAAACGGAGGATCCAGAGTATGCTGAGTATCTGTAGATGAGGAATTCAGTGACATAGATACCGAATCAGGTAGGAGAGGCGGGAGACGGGATCGCTCGAAGAAGTTTGCCCTGTAGGAGCAGAGGAGGCTGCGGTGGAGCGGCCAGGACGGGACGAAGGATCCTGGGGACGCAGAGCTTGCTGAAGTTCGTCCTGATATGTAGTGAGGGTGTGGACAACCCCTCCGATGAGTTGATTTTGCTCTGGAGCGGGAAGGCCCTTGAGCATAGGAACCTGGGAGACGTCCATCTGAGAGAAGTTCCGTAAGAGGGCTTCAATTTGATACTGTACATTGAGATGCTCCAAGTTGTCCACAGCCTGACGTCTCTGGCCTCTGCGGTGAACTGGTGTATTGGTGGGGTTGTGTGCAGCAGCCAAACGTTCTCCTTCGGCGCGAAGTTCAGTTTCGAATCGTTCACATTGTTCCCACATGGAAAGGCTTTGTGTGGCAGAAAGTACCAGTTGCCAACCCCGGGTGCCCCACACGCGATAGTGTGTCGACAAGCCCATTCCTCAAATGGTTCGGAAACAGGCCATGATCCATAGGCAGGATGGTGAACCTGACGAGCATAATCCGTGTAGTCCTCATTGTATTGATTCTCCGATCGAGAGAGGCTTGGAAGAAGAGCGGGATCAACGGCTTGTGTGTCACTGTGGTTGGAGATGGCCATGTTGTCCGGGTTCGAAGCTGATCGCAAATTCTCACACTCGCGGACTTCATCCTCTGTGTAGTAAGCTGTGAAGAAAAAAGGAGTGCCCTTGGTCCGTATTCAATCCAGCCATTTGGAAACTAGCAGCCGCTCGTCCCCACTCATTGTACCTGCACGAACGAAGCACAATGCACACCGCAAAGGAGGCCTGAAAAGCCATCTACATACTGGGCAGGATCAATCAACAAAACAACCAAATGGGTACCACCCAAAACGACTGCGGCCTGTTGGGAATGAGGTCGACCACATGGATCACAGCAGTGGTGTTGCCCTCGACAACATTGTCCAGCAGTGCCTGCAAAATCTCTTTCGAGGCCTGCACTCCGCGCTGCTGCACCTGAGAAACTTGCTCCTTAAACTCAAATATGTTTCTGCAAGAGTCGGAACGAATATCAATTGACACTGGTTCTGCCTAGAAACCCTTTGGGGTGGAGACAATGGCTTGCCATCCACATCATTGTTGATAAGTTCACATACGCGCGCCCTTGACACTGGGCCAATGGATCCCGTCAGAGCGCGTGAATTAGACCACGCCCAGGCATTGCCATGGAGTGGAGACACACAGATCTGGCCTTATGACCACGTCGAGTTTAAGTGAAAACACCTATTATTGCATCTCAGCCGCTAGCGCATGACGCAAAACATGGCAAGGAAGAAAGGAATCAATGTGTTTCTGGGTGAAATAATTCATAAAATTTCCACTGCCCCAATTCAATCCTTCTGACAACAACTTGTTCTTAACTCGCTCAAATGTTCTTTGGTTCCTTGGGCAAACCCATTTCAACTTTGATCAAGGCGCAGAACTGATTCTTGCGCCGCTTGTCTCCTTGATGAGCTGCGTCCCCAAATGTAAGGCTGGCATCATAGGTGTCAAATGCCCTGAGTGAGAAAGCTGCTCAAGCACTCACTTAGCAGGCCAAAGCAACTACACGAACATCAATGCACATCTTCGAAAGCAGGCATCCGTGGAATAGACTTGCGCATCAAGAAACGCCATGGTCAGATCCTCGAGCTGTCGCCGATGTTTCACAATAACTTCCCGAACTGCACTTTGGTGACTCTGTGGCATCAACGCGAAGACCAACACCTGCGTTGAAGCACTGGCAAGAGCTTTTGCCAGGCTTACAGCCTCATCGACCTGGACTTGACCTTGGCTGCGAACTGTTGAACGAAGGTGACAGCAAGTTTTCACGTCGTCCCTCATTAGTCACTGACTTCGTCCACATGACAGACTACGTGAGCAGGCGGCGACTGGGCCAAAGGGTGGCATCGATGATCACAACGACCAACCTCAGGTAATTCAACTGGTCGCTGAAATATCGAAAGACATCCACAGACTTTAGCGCCATAATGAAGGCAAAGGAACGCTTTTGCTGTTGGAGTTGATGGGCGGCCTGTTGTTGAAATTGAAGACGTAGCTGCCGAAGTTCCTCCGCCTCAGCGGCAGGAAGTGCGCTGGGAGGTGGGACAGTGGGCGGTGGTTGAAATGCCTGAGGTGGTGTGGTAGGTTGTGAAATGGGAGTGGTGGAGTCTGGAGGTGTGGGTTGCGAATGTCGACGATCGCCGGGTCCCGGTAGTAAGACCAATCCTGGTGCAGTGGAGGAGGCATGACGGAAGTGGGCCGAACTGATGCCGGTGAGACTGGTTGTCTGCGTGAGGTAGTCCAAGGTGCCGAAAGTGAAGTTGCGTGATGACCGGATCGGTGGGAGGAGCGAAGGTCGCGGCCGCGATAGGAACGTGCTGGTGTCCTGGAGTGGCACGATCGTGAACGTACTGGGGGCGATGGGTGGAGCGATGTTGCTCCGGGGAAGTGTGTAAATCTCGAGAAGTGGAGTGGTGCCGAGATCTGGTGTCTGCATGGGGCTTCCCGACCAGTGCGAGTTCGGGATTGGTGATGACGAGATGCTCGAGAGTGCGATCGGCGACTGTGCTCATGGCGGGTGCCGCGCTGGGAACGCGACGTTGCTGGGGAACGGCGTCGAGGTGAACGTGGTTGGCGAGAATGAGGAGAACGGCTTCTGGGGTGACCGGGAAGAGCGATGGTCCCGGGAAGTAGGTGGTTGTGAAAGTGGTTGCCTGGGTCGGGGTCGTGGTGCGTAAGGGTTGGGGGGAGGTGGACCGGTGGTGCGAGGGTGAGAAAGTGGAGGCCTGGGTCGAGGGGCTTGTAGTCGTGGTGGTGGAAAATGAGGGCTGGTGAGGTGTGTTGGTGGGGAGGGTGGAAATTGTGGGGGAGTGGAAACATGTGGCCGAGGGAGGGGAATGGGGGAAAATGTGAACGTGGGGGGCGTGGTGTAAGAGGTGGTCCGGAAGGTGCGGGGTTCGAGGTGCTGGCATGATGGGGAGTGTCGCCGGTGACGAGGCGGGGATGGATCTAGGACTGGAGAACCGCTGGCAATTTCGGTAACCGGTGGTGGGTTGATGGAAGGCAAAGCGGTATTGTCATCATCGCTGTAGTCCACTTCATCCCGAGATCGAGAACTGCGTCCGGGTTCACGTCGTCGATGAGCCCGATGGGATTCCGGAGAGGAACCAGAGCTCGCCATGATGCAGAGAGGTAAAACCGGGAAGTGTTGAAAAGATCCAAAGAAGACATAAAGTGGCATACATGCAAGGATTGAATGACCATACATTCGGGTGGAAAATGTCAGAATCACGTCCTGGAAGCTGGAGCCAGTAGAAGACTGAAGTGAAAAATAGTGAATGTCAGAAGGAAAATAAACAAGCAGGGAAGTGTCAAATGGCCGTTCAACTCGACCATGAAAATTAGAAAAAAGGAAAAATTCAAAGCGGCAAGAAAAAGTGCGCCTGATTTGTCATCGGTCGCATGAGGAAACAAGCCGACTAAGATCTGGTCGATCGAGGTCGAGAGCGGGACCGGGAGCGAATATTCAATCGGGTCCGAGGTACGAAACGAGAGGACGGAGGTTCAGAAGATGGAGGCACGCGGTTGGAGGTATTGTGAGTCCTGGTAGTCCACGAAGGAGTCGGTGTAGAAGGAAGACAGGAGGAGGAGAAGGCGTAGAGAGAGATGCACGATCGCCAAAG